GGGCTTTGCATCCAGGGCACTCAAACACATACGGTTCATCGTCAGGGAACTTGCACTGGCCACGCACTCGTGAGTGACGGGGGTCATGTCTTGCTTGTCTGCCCCGACAACCCGGACACAAACGCCAAGGTTCTGATTCCGAGCGTGGGACTTCTGCGGCTGCATCGGAGTCTCCAGGACCTGATCCTACGGAGGGGTACAACTTCATTCTCAAGGTCGTTGGTCGTGAGGGTCGAAATGTGGGCAATGTAGTTGCCGCTTGAGCATGACACAGTCCGTCGCTAATGGCACGCTTCATTGCTGCGGGCCAACAGGTTTTGCTGTCAGTTGCACTGATAAAAATGGGGACATACACTAGGAGAGCGCCGTGGTTCGCCATCAATCGGCGGTACGGGCGCTCATCACAAAGATGTACTTGGTGCCACTGCGTGGCGAGCTCGGTCTCCATTGTCTGCCATGCTTCAGGGCCAATGTCACACATCTGTTCGGCCAAGAAATGTCGACCGTCCTCGCTTTGCCGTTTTGCCACATGGCCGCAGAACTCCATAAACGTTTGGCAGTCCGCAGACGGGGCACTTGAAGGAGTAAGTATCAAGAAGGCAGGCTTACACTCGCGCACATATGTCGCCATGATCTGGAGGTCAAGCCTGTTGGTGACACAGGCTTGCGTGGTCAGGTCAAACATGTCGCCTGAGTGAAAGATCCTGCGCACTGAGAAATTGGCTGTTTCATTGGGGCCTCCACTCAGCTCAAGGACTTCAGAGGTGCCGGGAGGCAACGCACTCAACGCATTGAAAGCAGCTGCAACATTGGGTGCGATAAAGCATGCTTCAGATTGACGTTTGAGGTCGGAGCTTCCAGAGCATCCCTGTAGCCAGGTCAACGGTAAGTCGGCTGCATGCGCATGCAAGGCAGCATGCATGGGATCTGGTTGCTGCGGCTCCGGCAGGAATCTGGTTAGGCTTTCCAGACTGCTGCCGCAATCATCGTGGTGGTCCTCTACATGTTGACGCCGTTCTACGGGCTTTTGCCCCAGTTCCTTCATATCCTTAAGGCGCTGCTTCTGTCTCAGGCGCGCCTCAGTCGGAAAACATTGCACGGACGATGCTGGGTTTTGTTCTGCGTTTGTAGTGGTGGCGGTGATGTGCTGTTGTTGGACCTGCTGGGCCAATGGCCTGTCGCTCACGTTGCGAGTGGAACTGGAGGATGTGGACTCCTGACCCAAGGTCGGGTGGGAGTCTGGGGCTTCGGCCCGTCTCACTTCCAAGGGGTCGTTGAAATGGACATGTTTGGTGGTGGATGCGGCTCCCTGACTCCCGGGGGAGTGGGGATCTGGGACTCCCGTCCGTCTCGCATCCGATGGATGTGTACCGATTTCGGCACCAGCTGATGCGGTCACGGGGGCACAAATGTGGTCAACCATGGGCCCGGTCACCGGGGAACTTTCAACCAGATCTGTGCGAGCCAACATGGACTCCGTCGCAGCATCGGTTGACGACGCGAAGGAGGCATTTAAATTTCGGGCTAATCGGGGGAAGAGGAATCTCGACTGAGCGTCGGGTGTGCTCTGTCTGGATTGGTGTGTGCAGCGAGCGCGCACCCACGAGGCAGCGACATGACGCGCCATGGATGAATGCGCAGCTGCGCGCAAACGCCGTTGGTGAGGCATCTGCGAAGATGTCCAGTCGAGCTTGTGCATGGCCTGCGAGACATTGCACCGGCACGGATTGCCAGGCGCATTAACATTGGAGGCCAGCACAAAACAGGTGCGACTGGGGGTTGTCAGTGACGGGTCAACTGTTAAGTTCAGACTACACAGTCTATGATGGGACTTAACTAACACATTACGGTCAACCAACCTCTGAATTGATTCATGCAGCCACTGGCCGCCATACGCACCAAACAGGAAACACGGGATATCAAGGTCGTGGCAAAGCTGGAACCAGCAGCTGAGCTGCTGTACATGCGCACTCATGCGCTCGGACTTCACATGTCGGCCTTTCTGAGGCCAGTCCGTCCAAAGCAACACAATTTCTCCTTGTTTGATGCGATGGCCAAGTGTGGCCGTGCTGGCTGCATTGACGCTGCTGTGATAATGATGCTCTACAACATAGCCGGCTGTCTGAAGTATAGGTGCCACTGCGGGCACCTCCTCAATCACAACCGCTACAGATGGCATTGCTGGGAGGCTGTTGGTCTGTCCACATGGGCCGGTGGACACGGCACAAGGCTCGGCATCCACCGATTGCAACAGGTGAGGTCTAGGTTGATGCTTAAGCGTCTGCAATAGACCACTTACCGGAAACCCTAAACCCCTCACATACTGCAAAGCCTCTGCTGTGACCATCTCATGACCGCGGCTCAAAAAGGCAGTGATGACCCAACGGGACCCTGTCCATGGCATGGTGGCATGCCACAGCTTCGGCGCAAACACCGGTCGGCGTCCCTTAATGGGCACAAGCCGACCTGGCAGCCTGTGACCGTGAGCATCTGTCTGATACACCACATCGGAACGTTGCAAGCTTGCTGCTTCAGGCAGTTGCAACCACAGCTCGCCGTTGCGGAAAGGGCCGATGCCAATTGTTTGGTTCACAGTTCCCAACTGGTTATGGACATCCCGGTGCATGGTGGTCTTTACGTTGTCATTAACGCACAAGGAACTCCACGGAGGCTCAAACTCATGGACGAGTAACCATGCATTGATGTAGCGCAGCAGTTGAGGATGTCGCTCCGTGCGTGTCGTCACACCATAGTAGTTCCCATGCGCAAACAAACCAAAACTGTGACTACCAGTTGCCCTTCGGTCAACTGATTTACATGCATCACGGGGATGAGGATTTTGTCGGAAAGGGGTGCTCTCAAGCAGTCTAAAACAATCCTCATCTGTGAACTTTTCGGCTTGGCGCATGGTCTTTGCTAGGGCCTCGGCTTCTTCAAGGGGCAGCGTGGCCACACAAGAAGAAATCAATTTGATGCCGGAGATCTCTCAGGCTCAGGATGTGTCCGCCGTCGTCGCATAGAGCTTGAGCTCGACGCAGGTGTGGTCGGATTTGTTTCAGATGACCTTTGCACGTGAAGACCATGTCCGAACTCCGTTCCCTGCGATATGTGTGTGGGTCGAGCTCTCTTTGCACTGTCACTTTCCGCAGCGACAGGGAAGACTGATGCAGCGGCGCCCAGGGCCGTTGCCTTGCGCTCTTCGAAAAAGTCACAGCGCAACAGCAGATGTCCTGAGGGAGCCGTTAGAAGAGGATACTCAACCGTGCCCGGGGATCCTTCAATGTTCACTCCTCCAGGGCCTGGCAGTATGAGACGAAGCTCAGCATCATTGCTCGATAGGACGAGTATGGCGTCTTTGGCACGCAAACTTTTAAGGCCCAGAAGTGCTGGAAGAGATGAACCTGAGCCTCCTACGACTGGAGCTTCAAACTCGTGCACTGTCGTGCTTTCCTGGCCGTCAACAACGCTCTGCAATGCAATGGGCAACTTGACAGTCCAAGTGCATTGCTGAGATCCACTCCCAACTCCCTGTATGTGCATCGGCTGCGCCAACCGGCTTTGAACTGGGTGCATGCCTTGGTCGAGGCACACCTGAGCCATGCTGCGTATCCAGTTCAATCCTGCAAGGTTGGTGTATGCACCGGGATCGATCAACAGTGAATTGAAGTTGGGATGGGCAGTTGTGGTGTGGTACACTGCATCCTGCTCAGGATTGTTTTCGGCAGTGAGGGAAGGCCACCACGGAAAGTGATGGTAAGGTGATTCTTGGCCTGGCTCCAAGTCGGCATCGGGTCTGTCGTTACGCGGAGGGGTGTAGATGTCGTATGTGCTAGGGCCTCGTGCTGGTGGAGTTTGCGTACCTGTGGATCCTTGTGCTTCTGAAGCAGGCTCGGATGGCGCGTGTGCGGCATGATCATCACCTGACGCCTCGGGCACATATGTGAACCTGGACACCACTCTTGCGCTTCCACGACACACAGGGCAGGACATTACTGCATGTTCATGGACCAAATACCTACCCCAGCATTCGGCGTGGAACAGATGACGGCACATGAGACGCAACACCAGGTCGGCTTCCAGAAACACATCTTGACACAAGGCACACTGCGCATCCACTTGCTCGTATGGCTGAGGATCATGAGCTGATGGTACGACCAATCGGCGTCCTGCACGCTTATTCGACGCTCGCACCTCCTCTGCACGCCTACGGTGGGCTGCATTGGCTTGCTGCGTTTCATGAAATGACTGCAATAGCACATGGTGTTCACGACTGAGACCCGAATGCGTTGAGACAGTCGCTGCATGGAAACTGGTTGCCTGCCCAAGCCATCGAGAATTTGCGAAGCCCGTGGCCTGCATCAAACGTTCAAGCGACACCTGGTTCCCGGGATCCAAGCTCGAGGAACAGGCGGCTGGCAACAGAGGGGCATGTGGAGGGTCTCTATGTCCAACCGTATCCTGAAGGAACCCGAGAGCAGGCAGGTTTACGAACTCTGGCAGAGTGGCGGGCGCGGCTCGCAGCTGGACCGATCCAGTCGTCGCTTCACTCTCCTGTCGAGGCTGGAAAGGGGTTTGTGATGGCATCCGTGCAGAAGCTTCGTACTGGGGAGTAGCGGCAGTTGGCCCACAGAATGTGCCAGAGGGTCTGGTAGGTGGCTGTGCCTGCACATATGGTGCACCATGCGCTCGCGCTCTCAAGAAATCAGCCCAAGGATCTATGTCTGGCGCGCTAGTACCCGCGCCGTCGGGCATTTGCCATGAACTGTCACTCTGTGCTGCAGAGCTCGGCTGCGCTTCCTGAGCAGGGTGAGCTGATCCAGCCCCGGCGGGCATGGCCATGAACACCAGCCCTGACAGAGGTCCCTGATCAGAGATTTCAGATGTTTCCTCCACCAAGAATGTGCGATTAACGGACGCTTCAGGTCGGGGTGCAACACCATCGGTTCTCGGCAGATGACACTCTTTAGATAAATGGGTTTCGGACCCGCATCTAAAGCACCTCATAACAGCACCATCTTTACCACGAGGATTGGTTCTTCGTCCTTTCCCCTTGCCCTTGGTGCGCCTGAAACCCTTTCCCTTACCTTTACGAGCACCCTTAAACACTTGCTGCACGTCTTCGTCTGCTAGCTCTGAAAGAAAAGCTCTAGCATCGGGACGGGTTGAGCCTTTGCCTTTGCCCTTTCCTTTGATGTATCTACGAGCATATCTACGCACTGCCCGGGGGGGTTTGCGAAGATGCTGGCGCCATTGCAGCTTGGCCTTGTTGTAGGCCCACCACAAATGCTCGCTGATGGCCGCGGGATCGGAGCTGCCTTCGGGAGTGGATGTTACGGGTTCCAGGTCGTCTACAGAGCTAGCTGTTTCGGTGTCTGTCCAATTATCGGAATCTGCAGCATCCCAAGCAGCATGTGTTGGCACAGATGATGTGCCGCCCCACCCACTGTCGGGCACGGCCCACCCCTGATCATGGCCGGCATCTGGGTTGAAATCCGACTGGTTTGCATGAAAAGCGTGTGTCTGCGGCCTCATCAGCAAAATATCCCCTATGGTTTTGCGGTCCCCGAAGAGCAGAAGCTATATTTCCGGGAGAGTTTTCCAACACATGTCCCATACGGCGCAGTTGCTGTTTGAGCACTTGCAGCTCCTGCTCTGTCTGCGGAAAGTTGCCGCCGAGAGGCGTCAGAATCTGAAGCAACTGAGCATCACTTACTCCAACCGCTCGCAACAGTAGCCAGGTTAGGCCAGTGATGGACACCGTCAGCTGTCCTTCATCATGTGCCCGTTGTCGGGCCACGTCAAACCGCACCAGGATTTCATCGATGCGTTCGTGTTGGTGATGGTTTCTAGAGAATGATAGCAGCTCCGTGATTGACCCAAGCCTAAGTTCCTCACCCAAAGCCGCAAACCTCTCAGCTAAACCATGAATGACATAGGTCAGGGGATCAGCTTGAACTCCATTAATCAGACCGCCCTGAATCAATGTCTGAGGTGGATAAGCTCGAGCTAGCTCCTGAGCACCGCCTTTCAATTGCATAATCAAGAGGGCCGCCTTACGACTGCCATCAAGATCGGAAGCTACCGACCACAGCAGAACATCCTGCATCCAACGGCGGAAGGGATATGTTTGCTGCATCTCTGGTCCCCATGCTGGAGGGAGCCGGGCCGCTTGCCCAGCGTTGAAACCAGGCACCATACCGCATACAGCGGCACTTGTTGCAGCAACGGCTAGGATTACAATCAAGGTCTTGGGTCCTAATCCGGGGGCTAGCAACCTGATACCCAAAGTCCCACCGGATTTGTTAGGGTACATCGGCGGGGATATGGGGTGTGGCATGTCTGTCTTTGCTGGTGCATCCGGATCTACGGCAAGAGCCGGTGTAACACATAGAACCAGAACCACTAACCACCATAATCCTACACCCCACCTCAACCTTGCTGCAAGGGCCATCGTCTTGCGTAAGGCCGCACGCACACGTGGTTGCGTCATCGCGTTCCAGTCCGGTTGGTCGCATGTCGTCTCACTCCAGGCCGCTTGTTCGTTCGTCGTCGCGTTCCAGAAAGGCCGGGAGTAAAAGTCGTCCCAACCAGATAAAAATCGCGATACGTCCATATCGGCCACGTCCGGTACAACGTACGATGCCACTGAGACTGTCTGCACGCGCGTGACGGCCAAGTCCGGTGTAACGCTTGCTTTGCTTCCACGCGTCATCCCATACATGACGTCCACGTCCGGTTGATATGCACACTGCTCCATGATGTGGTCCCTGGAAAAATCATCGAAAAAACTTGAGCTGGTTCCAAAGGGGTCGTCTGTATCACCATGATGGCCTTGACCTCTCCAGAGCCGCTCATGCCACGATCTGACAAACAGTGCTCCACGCATCATCGACCTTCGCCGAAGACGCGAGGGCACGGCTTCCCAGACCGGTCCGAAGCTGGCATGACCAGCTCCGCTACCAAGTCCGAAGACAAGGAGCAGGCTGATACATAACAACAAAGGAGGACGCATTTCTACCACGAGGGGCCTGATGCAAAAGATAAGAGCAGCTACTCGACTGCGGCATGTACCAAACCTGTACAGACTCTACACGGTACCTTGCTTGTATTAGTTGGGTTTAGGGGTTTAGGGCTTAGGATTTTGGCTTTAGGGTTCAGGGTTTGGGTTTAAGGATCTCCAATACGCTAGGAATAACCAGGGCTCCCTTTGCGGTATTGGGTACTTTTGTGGGGAAGCTACGACCACCCAACAGGCAAAGATGGCCCGCTGGGAGACCTGGATCACTGCCACAAATCCACAGCCCTACGGTTGATGATATAAATCCTGGGAATTATGGTATATTCCTTATTACGGGTCATGCAGGATTTATATCATCAACCGTAGTTAGGGCTTCGGGTTCCCTACAGGCTTCTTTGAAGTCCAAGTTCCCCAGTAGCCCCTTAACGATAAGGGTTCTCTGTTTCCTACTACTTGGCTTTTATAACTGCACAAATTATAATAAATACAATTCGAAATTAGGCCGGTGACGTCTCGGATAATTTCCGTTGCGGTCGCTATTTAATTTCACACCCGAAATTAGCGGGCTGAGGGCTGTGTGGCCAAGAGTAGTAGCAGAAGTGGTAAGGCGTCGTGGTAGAGGAAGTAAACGTAATAGCAGTCGTCGTATTAGTAGTAGTAGTAGCAGTAGTAGTAGTCGTAGCAGCAGCAGTAGTGGTACTACTAGTAGTAATAGTAGTAGTAGTAGTAGTAGTAGTAGTAGTAGTAGTAGTAGTAGTAGTAGTAGTAGTAGTAGTAGTAGTGGTAGTAGTAGTAGCAGTAGTAGCAGTAGTAGTGTCGTAGTCGTAGTAGCAGTAGTAGTCGTCGTCGTGGTAGCAATAAAAGTAGTAGCAGCAATAGTAGTCGTCGTAGTAGTAGTAGTAGTGGTGGTAGAGTAGTAGTTGTTGCTGTCGTAGCAGTAGCAGTAGCAGTAGTAGCAGTAGTAGCAGCAGTAGTAGTAGTAGTAGTACTAGTAGTACTAGTGGTAGTGGTAGTCGTAGTAGCAGCAGAAGCAGCAATAGCTAGTGGCGTGTTTTCAGGTTTTTGGCTTGTGGGACCCCCCCAAAAAAGCACTATCTGGCTCAGATAGGCTCGTTTTCCTCTTTTTGGCTTGTAAGATCCTCAAAAAGCACTATCTGGTTCAGATAGGCTCGTTTTCTGTTTGTTGGCTTGTGGGCCCACTAAAAAAGCACTATCTGGCTCAGATACGCTCGTTTTCAGCTTTTTGGCTTGTGGGACTCAACATTAAAAGCAGTAATATTATAGTGGTAGCAGTTGGCAGTGTAGGTGGTACTGGTAATTACCGGTAGTCAATTTGGACTGACACTCAAGACAGCAATGTCAAGGATCCGGCAGTCCATCTTTCATTTTTCTCAGGCGGAGAAAAGGAGCCTATCTGAGCCAAATAGTGCTGTTTTGGGGGGTCCCTCAAGCCAAAAAGCGGAAAACGAGCCTATCTGGGCCAGATAGTGCTTTGTTGGTGTCCCACAAGCTAAAAAGCAGAAAACGAGCCTATCTGGGCCAGATAGTGCTTTTTGTGGGATCCCACAAGCCAAAAAGCGGAAAGCGAGCCGTCCTGAGCCAAATAGTGCTGTTTTGGGGGGGTCCCACAAGCCAAAAAGCGGAAAACGAGCCTATCTGGGCCAGATAGTGCTTTGTTGGTGTCCCACAGGCTAAACAGCAGAAAACAGCCTATCTGGGCCAGATAGTGCTTTTTGTGGGATCCCACAAGCCAAAAAGCGGAAAGCGAGCCGTCCTGAGCCAAATAGTGCTGTTTTGGGAGGGGACCCACAAGCCAAAAAGCGGAAAACGAACCTGTCTGGGCCAGATAGTGCTTTGTTGGTGTCCCACAAGCTAAAAAGCAGAAAACGAGCCTATCTGGGCCAGATAGTGCTTTTTGTGGGATCCCACAAGCCAAAAAGCGGAAAGCGAGCCGTCCTGAGCCAAATAATGCTCAAGCCGACAAGCAGAAATCGCAGCAGAAATCGAGCGATATCGTTGTTTAAATTTTGTGCCAACCAGCAGAAATCCTGCCTGTCTCGGCCCAATGGGTCAGAGGGCTGGGTCGCTAATTTCGCTTAATTTGGGAAGACTGCGGTCGCTAATTTTGGAGATTTTCAGGGTGACGTCGCGTGACGTCGCTATAATTTGTACAGTTTTATAAGGAAACCCCAAAAATGCAAAAGGGTACTACTGGGGAACCTGGTCTTCGAGGGCTTCAAGTTGAGCTCATGGGGTTTGGGTTTAGAGTTTAGGGCCTAGGGCTGTTGTGAGCAATCAACTGACAGTCGTATCTTGACTTAGAGTATGAGTATGTTTCCATGCTGGCTAATTACAGTAGAGCCAGAAAGTTGGAACATCATTACCCTCATGCCCTTAAGCTAGAGTATAGGAAATCCCAGCACCAATCCTCCTGGATCCATGCTGCAACTTTCTGGGGTTCACTGTATGACTCCACTGACGATGGCAACAGCAACTTTCATGAGACCGTAACCCCACAGCCTGAAGAGCACCCTAAACCCTAAACCCTAACCCGGGCTCACAGTAGGCCGCATAGCCTTCAACATAGCTTTCCCAAAGGATCCAAAGTACCAATATGGAAGAATGTAGGTTTTCTATATTAGGAATTACTAGTATGAATTGGGGAAGTATCTCCCTTGTCTTTCGGTAGTAAAACCACTTCGAGGCCCATGGGCCCATGCGACTCTATAGGCCAAATTGATAAAGAATGGAAGCAAATGAACCAAGCAATTTCATGTTGTTTAAATATTGACTCTTAATAACTTGTAGAGACCACTTTGAAAAAGCTCCTGTGGGGCGGCCCAGTAGCTGTTTCAAACATCTCCAGGGAGAGAACAAGCCTTCTCCCGTGTGCCCGGCAGTGCTCCTCCAAATGCTTCAGCACCTGTCTGAGCGTAGGGCTTGGGGTTGGCTGAAGGTTGAGGGCTCAGGGGTTGGGGCTTGTGTGGGGTTTAGGGCTTCGGGCTTACGGCTTAGGATCGAGGGCTTGGGGTTTCGGGCTTTTGTAGAGTTTACGGTCTGCTTTCCAGTAGCCCTGGGGCTCCAGGGACTCACATTTTGAGTGGTTTTGGCCCCCAAAACTATATTTCAAGGTCCAGGATATTGCCTCAGGCTGAGGCGGCGCCTAAATCTTTATATTTTTTTGCAACATTTGCGATGCTTTGGCTTTGTTCCGTAGCGTTTATAGTGAACCCCATAAAGTTGGAAACTGGATTAAGGCCAAATAGTGCTGGGATTCCCTATACATTACTCTTAGGGATCGAGGCTATGGGGTTTCCAACTTTATAAGGCTGTGGGAAAACTCCGCCAAGGATGCCTGGGCTTTCCTGGCCTGGGCGCTGTCGTCATGCATGCCATCTTAGCGTGTATTCTTGGGCTCCTTGGGTTTAGGGTTTAGTAGGGTTTAGGGTTTAGGGTTCTTGAAGGGGTCCTTGTCGGGATCTTTATAAGGTTCGAAGGAATATGCCTTATAGCCATCTGAGCGTGTATTCTTGGGTTCCGTGAAGTCTTTGAAGGGATCGGGTTCGAAGGAATATGCCTTGCTTGTAGCCATCTGAGCCTTTATACATTTACCCGACATGGGATCTGGTGGATGAGCTGGCCAAATCCCTCGCCTAAACATCCGAAACACCAAACCCGAAACCGCAAAGTTGGAATACGGAATACGGTTTAGGGTTTAGGGAAGTTTAGTGTTTAGTCTTCTCAAGTCATAGAGGGACGATACGATAATTCACTAGACTCTGCATGCCCCAAAGGCAATCTGGACCGCAACTTCTAATCCCAAATCCTAAGCTTTTAAGCTCAAAGCCCAACCCGTAAACATCACCTGGCCTGTAGCTGAAGCTTGTGTGTCACAGCGTCATCATGAACTTCTCCCAGCAGGACTGCCTCAAAACAGCTGGTTAGGGTCTGAGTTGCTTAAATCCTTCAGTGCCTGAATCCTGATCCCAAAGCTGGTACTTGGTCGGGGGACTTAGTAACTGGTTAATTTAGGGACTTATAAGTACCATAACCCCAATTAGGGTCCCTTTTAGGGTACTTATAAGTCTAATTACTACCTACTTACCAAGTCCCCCGACCCTCCAAGTAGACTTCTGGTAGACGGAAAGACGAGGGTCTGGTCGCAGTGTCCCAATAGACAACCTGCCATATTACCCAAAGGCTCCATGTATCTGTATAGTAGATACTGAGGCCTTAAAGGGGTCCCTATATAGGTACTTAGGGCCAAAGAAAATACTGTACAGGAACATGGAGCCTTAGAGCAACCACACGCTACAAGCAGGGACATCGGTCAGAATGCTGATGGCACTGCCGCGTAAACACAGGCCCTAGTTGTAGCATTCCTGCGAAGGACGTTGGTATACTATAGGGGCCTTAATAGTGAGAACAGGGGTTTTGGGGTTCTGTACTATAATTATGGTCTTATATCCCCTGAAACCCTGTTCTCATTATCAAAGCCCCTGCATTACAATCCCATCAGCCCAGGGATTCGAACCTCAAGCCCCGCCGCACCCCAAACCCAATGAAAATTCGACACAGGAATATTTATCTGCATCCTGCCTGAGGAACACCTTATTGAACCCTTAATTCTCGGACTTCCTTAAGACCTCTTCAAGTGGGATAGAGCAAAAAGATGCAACAAGGCATACAGACGGACGGCAGTGGTATAGTGCTATGAATGATTCAACATTTGTCGTCGGCCCCGCCGCTGGAGTAGTAGCAATACTTAGAAGTAGCAGTAGTCGTCGTCGGAGAAGTTGTCGCCGTCACGGCGGTCGTAGTGGTCGTAGGTGTCGTCGTCGTCTTCGTCATCGTCGTAATCGTAGTGGTCG